TTTGCCTTCACTGGGATGTTGAAATAGCCGTCTTTGCATGCAAGACACTCGTAACTGTTCACACAAAGTGCACACGACTCTTCACATGATGTACAACTAATGCCCTCCCGATAATACCCACTGTTACAGATTGCACATCCACCTCCACCAGGCAGTGCAATGTGACAACTCTCTTGTAATGCACCAAGTGATTTGCATGACATGTCAGTACTCAGATAAAAACAACAATTACATGAAATGCAATAATTTGTGTTGAAAACTTAAACAGTCGTTTTCACATTGAATACACTCATTGTTGATGTTGTAATACCCATCAGCGCAGTGTTGGCATCCTTTGTTGTTTCTTATTTGACAAGAAGTCTCTGTTGCTGTTTTCGTGTCTGTTTTGAGTTTGTCGTTTTCATCGAATGTCTCAGCACAAATTCCACTTTTCAATTTGAATGCATCAAGACACTCTACACATTTGGTGTTCTGTGCGCTGTATCTCTTGCAATTTGTGACTGTTGTGGATTCTATTGGAACACAGTAATCATACTTGTTTTCTATGTTCTTTGCGTCTGTCTGGTAATACCCCTCACTGCATACAACACATCCACCCAAACTAAATGTTTTGCATGTTGATATAACACTCTTTGATACACACCAAGTGTCAGTGTATTTCACAAAGCCGTCCAAACACTTTAGACAGGTACTTGTGTCACAGAGACCACAGTTGGTGGTTTGACACTTTGAGCACCTTCCTGTGATATGTAATTTAAATCAGATTTGTATTTGGTGCAAAACCCATATTTTACTGTATGGCAATTATCATCTGTAACACATTGGTTTGGAGTCGTGTCAAATATATAATTGGTTTGACACTGTAATGGTATTATTTTGGTCTTTGATAATTGGCAAACCGAGACAGAAACACAGCCGACACACTCGTTTGAGATGTTGAGATGCGCACCATCTCCACACTTGTAAGTAATACCATTTATCATTTCCAAATTTGCACTTTGACATTGAGTTGTTTGTTAGCAAACCCAATACACCAAAAAGTAGTTGCTGTTACATAGAAGACAAGTTGACTCGTCGACTTGAATTTGACAGTTTACATCATTACTTTGACAGCTCTTTGAATTTGGATTGTAATACTTCCCACTTGGACACAACTGACACTTTCCGCCATTCAATACATAGTTGGTTATACAAGAAATGCATTTGGAAACACCCACAGAAAGTGTTGAACACACATTGCAGTTCTCAGTTGCAAAATAACAACTTTCACAAGTCATGTCAGTCTTCTTATAAGTCCCAACTTCACAATTTGAACAAATCCCGTTTGAAGCTAAATATTGTGAATCTTTGCACCCCAGGCACTTCTTTGTTGTTTGGCTGCAACTCGTGCAAATTGAGTTGAATGTGCTACATTGAACGCAGATACCAATGTCGTTTGGGTAATATCACGTATTACACATCACACACCTTCTTTCGAATGCAGACGAACATTTATTACAATGTGTGTCAAAAGTTGAACATTGTTCACACACACGTGATTTAGTTGATTGGAAAACGTAGTTATCTTGACATGTTGTGCATATTCCATTGATTGCATCACAGCTCCCTCCACATGTTGTTGAACACGATACACACATATGTGACGTGTCGTCAGGGTACATGTTTGGCGTTGAACACTTTGTGCACTTCCGCTCACCAGTCACACAACTCTCACAATTCGAATCAAATGCCTGACATAAAATACACATAGACAGATTGGTGTTGGAAGGGACATACGTTGCTGTACAACCAGTACAATATCCACTAACTCCATCACAGGTACCACCACACGTCGATTCACAATCTATACACTTTCCATTTGATGCAAATTTACCATTTTTGCATTTCACACACTTCTGAGTGAAATTTGTTGCACAAGTCACACAGTCTTTGTTCCGTGCAGAGCACATTATACAATTTGTTGAAATTGGTGAAGTCACAACGTAATTATCAATACATAACATGCACATACCATTTGCTGTGTTGCATTTATTTTGTTGACACGTTGTTGAACATGCTACACAGATTCCATTTGACGGGTAATACCCACTGTCACAGGTCACACACTTTCTGGAAAAGTCGGGAGAACAAGTAGCACAATGAGGATCAAACGTTCTGCAGCTTTGACACGTCATACTCGTTGAAGAAACAAAGACGTAATTTGACAGGCACCCCGTGCAATAACCAATTCACTTGTTGCAACTTCCGTTACATGTTGCGTCACAACTTTTGCACTTGAAGTCTGTTGATGTGTCCGGGTAATAATTCGTGTTGCATTCCTCACACGCATGCGATTGGTCTGATGCGCGCAAATTGCAATTTGAGTCGAAAGAAGTGCACGCCTCATACTTCGTTGTTCCATCAGACTCGTCAATAAATTCGTTTGAATTGCAATTGACACAATGGCCAAACAAACACCAGTTTGGACATTGCAGACCGTTGTGCAATGTGTGTCGCATGTAACACATTTACCATTCTCGTCTGGTGCATCTTGTTGGTGCATGTGTTGCACTTTCTCTCGCCATTTGACGCACAGACTCAACAATTTGCATCAAAATCAGCACACGCAACACACACTGCTGTTTGTTGTTGAAAAGACTTTGTTTGTGTCGCAGCCCGTGCATCATTTTTTGGTTAGATTTTAAGTATTTAACAAGTTGGAGCTTCCTTTTTTTTCTGTTTTATATGAATTTTATTAAAAAAGTGAACAAATTCTATTTATTTTTTAACTTTCCAATTATCTCCAAATCCGAAAGTGATTAGAGTCAATCTATCAACGTTATCTGGTCCTTAAACGTTATCTGGTCACGAATATTCTATTATTCTTCTTATTATTTCCACGGACTCAAATTAATTACGTCAAAAATGATAAAAATATTTTTGATATTTTAAATTTTTTATTTAATTTTAAATAAAACTTAAAACAATAAATTCATTTATTTTCAAGATGATACTTTTTGTCAAAAATAAAGAATCATCTGAACAAGTACCAAAATGACGCACCTAAAAGAATAACACAATGAAGTAGACGAGGACCAGAAAAGTCCACTTTTTGCTGTCAACAAATGCTTCCAAAACCACAATCTAAACCATTTTTAACTGTCTCGACTTCTTTGTTATTGATTAAATAATATTTTCAATCATCAATATCGTAAATTGTGTAAACATAGAAAATGCTTTTTGTAAGTAAGTTGGCTTATGGATCGAATAAACAAGCAAACCAATAATACTGATGATGTTTTGTCTATTGGTTGTTGTGGTTGATTGAGTAATATTATAAACGCATACTTTTGTACAATGCTCGGAATCTTTCTTTGGTGTTTAAAGTTTGTAGGTTTTAAATATTACAATCATTAACCTATTTATTATAATTTATTGTATTTTTATGGTACTGTTTATTTTTTTATTTGTTTGTTTTTTACTATATTATTTAATACAATTTATATTTTTTATACAAAAATATTAAAAATGTATAACCGACTTCATTTATCAATATTTTCACCATCCAAGTTTACTCAATTTTATCCTTTGACTTTTATAAAGAGAGAAACCATGGTTCAATTCAAGTTTAGAATTGTCCAACTTGCGATACTTTACACGTAAATTTTTCAACACTTTTTTCTTTGAATTGTTTATTG